CGTTAAGCTAATGATCGATAAGCTAATGATCGATAAGCTAATGATCGTGAAGCTAATGATCGTTAAAACAAATGTTCGCTATGCTTAAATTTTGATATCCCAATCAAATTTCTTTCTTTTGAGAACTTTTTTCCCGGATCTGGAGCGCACCTTAAAATTTTGACTACAAAATTTACCGAAAAAACATATTTTTTGTTACACTTGTATCTTGAGAGGGTGAGAAAAAGTCGTTGACTCAAAAAAAGAAAGAAAATTGAAGGAAAAAAAGGAGAAAAGTGAGAATGATTCATGATTTCGGAAACCTCTTTTCCGATCGGAGAGAAAATCGATTTGGAATTCGGTCTGGTTGTTGTAAATTTTATGTAAAAGATGGAAAAAAACAATGTTTAAAGATAAGGGATCGGAAAAGATTGAAAAACAGAGCTACTTGAAAGATCGAAATTTATCTATCATTTCTGGAACGCAGTGAAAAAGATTAAGTCGAAAAAATCCTAAAAACATCAAATTTCCGGGTTAGTATAAAATGACAATTGGACAAAATTTCCTGAATCACTTTAGAACAAAAAAAAGGAAGGGATTAACTAGGATCTACTTTGGTTTTGTGAGTTCCATGATTAGGAAATAAGCAGGAAACTCTTGCACTAATCCCTTCGTTTACGATATTACTCATCTTTTCTTTTCAACGAAAATTTGTTTCCCATTGTAAGGAAGCTATTTTTGAGGACAAAAGTGAGCAATTTTTTGGGTTAATTTTGAAATCTTGGAGATCTTGAAGACGTAAAAACTCCGGATTTCGAATATTTTCGAACCGAAAATTAATCCACCCATTTCGCAAATTCATTTCCTCAAAGAAAACTCAAAGGGAAAGCCAGAGTGGACCTCTTTCAATTCACACCAAAAAGCCTCAACTAACCAACCCCAATCTGTACCTTTAACAATGCTTCCTCTCATTGCAATGAATATCCTTACTATCTCCAAGTACTTCACTCACAGGGCGCGTGAAAATTATTGATCATCTCTATAAGCTTTGTAATTTACTTGAAAGCTTGTTCACGAATTCGTAAAACAAGGAAAATGATCCACAAAAACAAAAAAGTTATGAAGACTTGGTTTGACCTTTTTTTCTCGGATTTTCTCGTGAAGACTACTTGAAAAAAAATAGACCCTGCGGCAGACAATCTTCATTAAAATCGCCTCAATCTTTTGTTTAAAGCTGATATGAAAATCACTCTAAATCTTTATTTCAGTGATATTTTAATAGTTCTTTGTTTTAATTTAGCCAAATAAGGCTTCTGAAGAGGCTATAAAATTGAACAAATTTGCGATATGAGCGGGATAATATGGAAAATGGAAGACATAGATTGACCAAATGTGAATCTTTTCAAAAAATTAAGCCAAAGATGACCTTTTCTTAATTAAAATATTACTCAAATAAAGATTTATCTGAAACAAACAATGAAATAGACAAATAGACAAGAAGACAAGTTTCCAAGAAAGTTCGCAGACAAGTTTCCAAGAAAATTACAAAGCTTATACGGGTGGTCAATAATTTTCACGCATCCTGTATCGTCAGAGTAAATAACTTTAAGTAAATAGCATAAATGGCTTTTGAAATGAATAGTAATTAGGTTTATAAGCCAGGCCAGGCAAGCTAGGTTAGAGATAGATAAATGATTTGCTTTCTGGTGATTGTTAGGTCAGGCTAAAGTCTTTGCTGTGCTTGGCCTGAAAAGTGCAGAAAAGTAGGCAGGAGTGATAGTGAGGGGTGAGGGGAGGGCGGAGGATAGATGACTGGGTGAATAGATCAAGAATGGATAAAGATTTCTAGAGAAAAACAGGATGGACAGGATCCATGCAGATTGCATGGATCCTGTCCATGCAATCTGGAGCGCACTGGAGAGTTTCAGCACAGAAAAGTACTTTGCGCATAAATGGCTTTTGAAATGAATAGTAATTAGGTTGGTAAGCCAGGCCAGGCAAAGCAAGGTTAGGGATAGATAAATGATTTGCTTTCTGATGATAGTTAGGTCAGGCTAAAGTCTTTGCTGTGCTTGGCCTAAAAAGGAGGTTTATTGAAGAAAGATTTTCAAATTACTAAACCTTTCCTGCAGTAAGTTAGTGTTGAAGATGGGGGAGGCGTGTGAAGCAGTGGGCACAAAGTAATTAGTGTCGAGTGAGTCCCCTGCTCTATTCCTTTCCATTCCTTTGCATTGCTTCCATCGGATTTCATCTCCTTTTTTGCTCTTTCCGATGAGAAAACGTATGTCTATCCACCTCTTTTTATCTCTTCTTTTTACCCTTTTCTAGAGATAATTGGAAAAGCCGGAAATGAAGATTGACTCTTTCAAAATGCGCATAGGAATATATTGGAAATTGGAAATGAAATAAAAATCGTAAAAATGAGAAATCGTAAAAAAGTCAATCTTCGAAAAATGGATTTCAGTGTCATTTTGACGGTAAATTGAAATGTGAATAAGAATTGATTCTTCTAGACTAGAGTGTAAATCATTTTTCAACTAGAAAGCTGGCCTGGCTTATCAACTTAACTACCAACATCAATTTGAAAGCTTAAAATTCAAAAAATGAGGTACAGAATTGAATCGAAATTGAGCGCACTAGTGCTTTGAAGCTAAAGTTAAGCCAATTTTTCAAAACTATTTAACTGGTTAGTAAACTCTGGGTGAACTGGGTGAAATAAATCCAAAAATCTCATAGCCAGAATAGCTCAGCTCAATCAAATGATCGCAAAAATGAGTTGAAAAACTGATCGATTGTTTGAAATCTTTGAACGACCCGTTCTCCGCGCTGCTTTATGCTACAGTGTGCGATTGAGTGTTAAATGATTGGCCTTAAAATCTAGTATTGCTTGGTACCAAAGTTGGAAAAAATCTAGGGCACGCTGTAGCATAAAGCAGCGCGGAGAACGGGACGTCCAAAGTTAGACTACACGACTGAGAAAAAATGATTTTCTAGAAAGAAGTTAGACTACAAGGGAGTCGCATTCTATTAGAGTATTTTGAGTTACGTTGTTGGACCAAATTGACTCGAGTATGTTCAAGAGTTAGATCCAAAAAAGAACTCTGATTATTTAGCAGAAGTGTTATCCGGAAATTTCCCGAGCCTGGTTAGACAAGGCCAGGGGCAGACCAGTCCAAATAAGGTTAGTCTTGGGCAAGACCTGTAACCAATTTTGTTCAGAGAATTGGGCACGAGACAGCGCCGTTTCTTGATCGAGCTCATCTGGAAAAGAGCTCTTTGATGCTTTTTGCTTAGCTGATAGTAGACAAATACTCTAATAGAATGCCACCGTTATAATGACGGGTGTACAGTCGTGTAGTCTAACTTTGAACGACCCGTTCTCCGCGCTGCTTTATGCTACAGTGTGCGATTGGGTGTCAAATGATAGCCCTTAAAACCTACTACTTTTTGGTACCAAAGTTGGAAGAAAATCTAGGGCCTGAGAAAGAATGATTTTCTAGAACTGGGTGAAATGAATCAAGAAAATCTTAAAAGCGCACTAGTTCTTTGAAGCTAAAGTTAAGCCGATTTTTCAAAACTATTTAACTGGTTAGTAAACCCTGGGTGAACTGGGTGAAATGAATCAAGAAAATCTCATAGCCAGAATAGCACAGCTCAATCAAATGATCGCAAAAATGAGTTGAAAAACTGATCAATTGCTTGAAATCTTTGAGACAAACAGAAGGAAGTTCAAGTGAAATGAAAATATTAAAAGAATTAAGTATTTTTTTAAAAATTATAACATTAAAAGAGGGAAAGCTAAAAGAATTGTTTAGCTGAAAATCTCGAGATCACATGCAATAAGGGGAAAAACTGGAAGCTTGAGGTAAAGACCAATATTTCACATGGGACAGCCGTTCGATTACAATCCTCTTTCTCAGCTTTTGATCCCAGCTCTCACTCACAATCACTTAATGATATCAAAAAGTGACATTTGAGAATTGTACTGGTTGTTAGACAATTGTACTGGTTGTTAGACACTTGTACTGGTTGTTAGACAATTGTACTGGTTGTTAGACAATTGTACTGGTTGTTAGAGATCTTTGAAATTTACAGATTACAAGTTAAACAACTGAACAATCAAATCCTTTATTCTCTCAAAATAAATCATGTCTCGAGCTTCTAGCTGATGGTGATACGTCTGTATTATGGACAATATCCTTTGTATCCTTTGTCCAATTATTTGAGTGTTTTGCCTCATAGTGAACCTTGTAAATTTTCCGTTTCCTTTTCAAGAAACATAACATTTTGATGACTGTCTCCCGGTAGGGCAATACGTAATAGATTGTGATACACGGATTGATCGAGCTCACCTAGAAAAGAGCTCTTTGATGCTTTTTGCTTAGCTGATAGTAGACAAATACTCTAATAGAATGCCACCGTTATAATGAAGGGTGTACAGTCGTGTAGTCTAACTTTGGACGATCCGTTCTCCGCGCTGCTTTACAGTGTGCGATTGGGTGTCAAATGATAGCCCTTAAAATCTAGTATTGTTTCGTACCAACGTTGGGAAAAATCTAGGGCACGCTGTAGCATAAAGCAGCGCGGAGAACGGGACGTCCAAAGTTAGACTACACGACTGAGAAAAAATGATTTTCTAGAAAGAAGTTAGACTACAAGGGAGTCGCATTCTATTAGAGTATTTTGAGTTACGTTGTTGGACCAAATTGACTCGAGTATGTTCAAGAGTTAGATCCAAAAAAGAACTCTGATTATTTGGTAGGAATGTTATCCGGAAATTTCCCGAGCCTGGTTAGACAAGGCCAAGGGCAGACCAGTCCAAACAAGGTTAGTCTTGGGCGAGACCTTTAACCAATTTTGTTCAGAGAACTGGGCACGAGACAGCGCCGTTTCTAGTCGGTTTTCAATCAAACTCTTGTAAACTCACAATTGCCATCAATAAGAAAACCCATTCCTCGAAATACGGTGCCAGATCACCGAATCTAGATTCTGATTTTCAACGGCTAATTGATAAATGATTACGGTAATTGAAATTGTCTCCAAATGTAGATTGAGGCCTGGCTCATCATGAAGAGCGGGATAATCGCTTGAATGGTTAAAGCCTAAAATCGAGTTTCATTTTCAAATGACTTCAGCAATCCCACCTTCACCAGCTTCTTTTGTGCATCTTTTGTCTTATTACTCATCGGATTTGCTCTTAAAATGTACATGATTCGAGTACGATAGGTGATCGCTGCTGTATAGCCAGGAAAGATTGGCAAACAGATCCAAATGATAATGGCCAGGGTTCTAAAGCAAAAAGCAAAATCTTTTCACTCAAAGAAATCATACGTTTTCTGAAAAATACTCTCATAACCGATGAGGGCAGCAACTTTCGGATCATCAGGGAAAAGGGAGATGTTTCGGTGTTCGATCAACATCCTTCTAACAATGACTGGATCACTTGTCGATGAGGCGAACATTACCTAAAAGTATCAGGAGTTGAAGTTCGTTCTTTAGCCCAATTTTCAAGTCAGTCAAGAACTGAACCTGAGCTGATATGGGCTAGTTGAAGCAGGCTGGGTTTTCAAGCCAGGGCTGACCCAGGCTGAAATAATTTTTAGAGTTAAACCTGACTACTACGCAAGCATGACTGGTTCTCCAAATTCAAGTTAGGGCTGACCCTGGTTGGCCTACAAAATCTCTAGGACTAGATCTGTCAGGACTGACTACTTGGCAGGTAGGGTTCAAGCCAAAGCCAGACCAAACCAGGTTCATGGGTCTGTGGTCTTCGTGATTAATTAATTGAAAAAAATGAAAAACTGCAAGAGAGTCACCTTATAAGACTAAAAGGTTATTCAGTCATTTGGCTAAATATCTTTAACGAACACTATTTACTTTAATCAAGGTTTAATCAAGCTTTTCACTCGAAACTACAATTAATCAGCTCAATCAAGCTTGATATAAATCAGCGGGAACTCTATTCATGGCTATGGCCTGATTCTGGTTGGGAAAAGGCTTGTCAGGTCAATCTTGAAAAGCCATTTTGACTAGCCGAATTGTTTAAAAATTTCACACCATTGAAATAAAAGCTGGTATATAAAAGATGAAACAAATGAAGGCGATTTTCAGTGGTGATGGAGCTTTTTTGATGAGAACATAGTGACGGTACCTGGAATAAAGTTCGAAGTAAACGTTTTCTTTCTTTCTTTGTTTGCTTGTTTGTTTGTTTGCTTGTTTTTTTGCTTGTTTGTTTGCTTGCTTGCTTGTTTGTTTGTTTATTTGTAAAGTTTGAAGTGCTTGAAAGTTGCCTGACCAAAACGACAGCGGTAGCAATGAATAAACATAGGCAACACAGTGAGCGGTGATTGCGTGAACTGGAAATGTGAATTGAATCGAGCAAAATCTTTCCCCCAACCATTCATGCAAAATTGTGGTGACACTTTTCGGCATAAACCATGAAATTGATAGGCAAGACCCCAACCAATCGGAATGCATCTGAAATAAACAAAATAAGACTGAATTTTGAAGAGTTTTCGATAGAAATTCTGAATCTACAATCAAAATCTTGCATTGTAAAATATTCAGGCTAAAAATGAACTAAATCAGTGATCCACCTTGTCATCGCCAATCCAGCTGTCATTCCAAGAACGAACTCGGAAAGGGTGACACTAAAAAAAATGATGAAATATAATAAGAATCCATTTGAAAATGATTGAATGAAGCCTATCTTCTGTACTTTACCTGCCCAAAATGATCGAATAGGATCGAAATGATCGAGCGGTTCGAAAAATAATCAAATACAATAATAATCCATTAAAAATGATTGAAATGATGTCAAAGATTTGATGCAATGAAACGAAGAGATTCGCTCGGAATTGAGTGAAGGGGAAATCCATGCTGAATTATCTAAACAAGTCGTTTTAATAGCATGTGATCGAAAGAATAAGATCGAAATTTGATCAAATCTCAAATCGAATTTAATCACAAAGCTCTCAGCAACAAAAAAAAACGTAAAAAACGAAAGTAAATCTCACTAATTTTATTGGGGTAATGGGAAATAAGCATATTAAAGTTGGCAAAAGGTTTCAAGGCAAAGATCTATTCAAGACTCAGATACTTTGCTGCCTATTGCATGTACTCATTGTCACAATCAGTGTTACATATTGTCACAATGAGGCAGATAAATTTTCCTGGCAATTTCTCGATAGCTTTCCCCTGCTTGATTCATCACTTCGATCCCCTTTTCTTTATCGGAAAGTTGCTTCCTTTTGCTCATCGCTAATTTGAGGCTTTTCGAATGATTCCCGTTGTCGTTGTTCCCGCTTTGTAGTGCTCGGCTTTGGTCTCGTATGTTTCATTCTTCCATAATCGATTGGATCATTGGGATAGGTAATGATCAATTGGTGTGAACGACCGATTTTCTTAGCAATTTCTCGATAGTCCAGCTTGATTCATCGCTTCGATCGTCTCCTTTTCTTTATCGAAAAATTGCTTTCTTTTGCCATCAACTAAAATAAACAGATTTTTTTTGTAAAAACAGCACAGAAAATGATGAAAAACATAGAAAAAAGTAAAGTTTCTCAATTGATCGTAAAATTCTGTCCAGTAGCGTATATGATGCGAATTAGCGACTGGAAAAGTTATAAGGTTATCTAATAATGAATGGCAGTAGTAAAGACAAGAATGTTAAGCAAAAGAAGGCCAGTAAAAGTTGATAAATCCAACTTCGATCAGCAGGTTCGATGCTGAATTGCTCGACAGCAAATTTTGTTAAGGACTTGAGAAATCCTAGACAAGGATTCTTTTTAAACGCTCACCAAAATTTCCAGATGCCTAACAAAAAAAAACGTGTTTTTTTTAGATTCATAGAACGAATTTCTTTCTAGATTCGAATTTCTTTCGGGATTTCGGGGGAAAACACGTGTGAATTTCAGGGTAATTTCCTAGTTTTCATAGAATTTTGTACCCAAAACGCTTAAAACGCTTAAAACGCCTAGTAAACTAAAAAAAAAAAATTCTCACACTCACTTATAAAAAAAAAAAGTGAATTGAGTAGAATGTTTCAAAATGTTCTCAACCTTTTGAACTTTGATGTAAATCCTAGTTTTCTAGAGCGCTTTTTCTAGAGCTTCGATTTTTAACCACACAAAAAAATTGGGTTTAGTAGAATCTTTTCAAATTCTAAACCGAAATTGCTAAAAATTTGGCGGTTTTTTGAAGATTGAAACCGTTTCTGACCAGGTTTGCAGCCATTTTTTTTCCAAAAATTGCGTTCAAACGGTATTTATTCTCCATTTCACCTGGCTATATGCTTTGAACTTTAGCAAATCTAGCACAATTTTTGATTACTTTTGAAAAATAAGGAGTATTTTGTGAATTCAGAAAGATGAGTAATTTGAGAATGTCAAGAATGGGAGATTTTCAATTCCTACTCTTTTTTTGGAGCCACAAAGAAAGCTTTAAAAGGGATATATTTGAAAAAGTGTGAATAAAGTCAATTTCAAGATTTCAAGGGGAAGTTCGACAATGATTTTCTTTGAAATGTTCTGAAAATTAAAAACTTATTGAAATGGGGACAGTTTTTTGAAAGGCTCAAGGGAATCATGAATTCAAGATCGTTTGAAATATGTCAAAACAGCAAATATTTTGCAATTTTTTTGCCAAATGCACTTAAAAATTGATTTAACAATGGAAAATTTTGTTTATAAAGCTTCATCATCTCAAAATAGAATTGTGGCTTTCTTGGACGCCTCTTGTTCATTCATTGCACACCATTTGAGCATTTGAGACTTCAAAATTAGCAGTGATTTCAAGATTAGCAGTGAGCAGGCTTTACTGTGGCATTGTAATGTATTATAGTCAAATTTATTGTGTGTTTTGGTTTTGTTAGACTGGCTAGCTACGGTTTTGCATAACGCTGAATATGTAAGCTAGCTACGGCTACTCCAATGAGTCACTTTGAGTTACAGATCAAGTTCCGGTCAACCATGTTAACTCCACCCCTTTGGAGTGAAAATGAAAAAAATCTCTTAGAATATCAAAACGCGATGCAATAGATCTTAAATTGGCGTAGTTTGCCAGTAAAATACTTCTCCAAAATCTCCAGAGTAGGCTAATTTCCGCATTTTTTTTTGCGCAACTGGGCCGTTTGCGCAACTCGCCATAACTTTCTTCTAAGTGGACCAACCTTTATGATTTTGCTTTCATTTTGTAGATCTCAATAAGTGCAACAAAATGAAACCAACATTATAAAGATTGGCTGACTCAGAAGAAAGTTATGGCGCAAATGACCCAGTTGCGCAAAAAGAAATTGCGGAAATTAGCCTACCCCAAATCTCCTTCTAAACGGCTAAGGTCTTTATCGTTAGAATGTGAAGCCCACGAACAAACCAAAAATATCAAATCTGTCATTTTTGAAGATCAACCTTTTTCAATTTTGAATAGAAATCTGCTGTTTTCTCTATTTTCACATCATTGAACTCAGAATTTATCCAAATATTTTATCATGAAAGCTTCACAGTATTAAAAAATGGAAAGAATAACAAAGCACAACTATTTGATTCCAAGAAAATCCCATTACTAATTGACGAAATTGAGTTTTCGGCGACATACGACATTAAAAATTGCATGTTAAAATGGTTGCTCATGATTTGTGAACACTTTCTCTGAAGAATCCCTTTGTTCTCTCTGATGACATTTGGGGCTAAATATTATGATTTGATCCTCGTTTTGCTCATCACACTCGGGTTATCAAGTTAGATGAAAATGGGGAGTTTTGGGAAAATAACTTTAGGTCTCCTTGCTGTTATTCAAATTTTCAAATTGAAAAGCTTTACTTGGCCGAAGACTGGTTTCGATATCAGCTTTAAACTCAGCTCCCAGCTCACGGAAATTTTCGATCAAAACGCTGAATATGTAAGCTACAACTTTTTCTAAAGCCGAACATTTGTTTTAGGCTTTCTTCTTGGGATTTCCTTTTGCTGGATTGGCTGCTTTCTATGCTGCGACGAATAATCGATTGACGATACCGGTTCGGTTGGGTTTTTGACTTGTTTGCACACAAAATCTTGGACAATATAACTTTTGAAAACGAAATTTTCTAAGAATTGAGTGAATCTGAATAAAGTATTGGGTCGGTGAATTGAAAACTGCCGGCTATTGTCATATGTGACAGTTTTAGCACTTTCTTCAAAAGAAATCCATTTTGGTGTCAATGGAAAAGTTGTAGAGAATCAAAAATGAAACTTATATCCAAATTTTTAGAACGATTCAAAAACTGGTTTTCAAGAGATGCGAAATTTACGAATTTTCACACAACTTGCATTTTAAGCGAAACTACTAAGTGTATCTTTTTGGAAATTTGGCTATAAGCCTAATTTTTGATTCTCTACAACTTTTCTATTGACACCAACATGGGTTTCTTTTGAAGAAAGTGCTCAAACTGGGACATCTCCAGTCCTCCATTTTTGAGTCTCACACTTGTCTCACACACAAACCAAAATCCTACCCAGAAAGAGGAATCCGCAAATCGCCTGTTAAATGGGCAGAAGTCGTCAATAATAATGGAAATTATTTGGAATGAATTTATGGTTTTATGTTCAATAAATTTTAGTTCAAAGTCCGGCAGTTTTCAATTCACCAACCCAACAGCAGGTCAAAAATCTAAGTGCAAATTCTAGATTTGTCAGAGAGCAAAGTTGCAATGCAACCAATGAACTTTTAATCTTTCAATGTTCAGATTATTGTCGACTGCTGAAAACGCGAACAAATTCGTGCAAACACTCGGCTATTTCCCAACTTTCATCTGTGAATTGAGTCTGGTGTTCACGTGAGTGAAAAAATATTGTTTTTAGCTCTTGTAATTTAAAAGGGGCTTTTGAGAGGTCCATAGCTTTGTTTAAAGATAATATTATTGTTAGTTTTTTATATCGTTTTAGAGAGGAAACTTCAGGCTTTCAAATAATATAAAATATTGTTTGATTGAATGATCAAATTCAATAAAAACCAAGAGACAAGGAGCCAATCTCTTTAGGCTAACTATAAGACTGACTTGTAAGTTTTCCTTTTCGCTCTTGTAACTTAAAAGCGGCTTTTGAATGAGTAGTTTAGCTTTGATGCTCACAGGACTGGATAATTCAATCAAGCTCTATTTTACGTCATTCTAAAGCCTGAGGTGTCCTCGTTACAATGGCATAAATATTTATGAATAATATTATTGCTAAACAAAGTTATAGACCTTTAAATCATGACTACTCTCTCAAAAATCATCTTTAATTTACAAGAGTCGAGCTTTCAAATGAAGCATTGAGATTAATGGGTTAGTGTGGTTAATAAAATGTGTTCATGCAGGTTACTGGGTTCATTTTTAAGCAGTTTTATAAAAATAGCCAATGCCTCTCCATTCAACTCAATACATCTAGATGCTCGAAGGATTTGACTTATATATTTGACAGAGTATCATTTTATGTCGATTACTATGATCTTTTCAGTATTTCGCAATATTGTCAATTGTGTATATCAATCAGGTAAATGCAATTTGCCGGACTTTGGCTAATTTGCAGCATTGGTGTTAGAGATTTCTCTTTTAGTCGTTTCATGGCTCTTTCCTTTGACGGTTTCTATTTTCGATATACTTTGAAATGGCCACTTATTCAATTAGGATTCCCATACTTATTAGCTATTGCTATCAAATATTTGATCCCATTCCTTACCCCAATTTTTCACTATAATCCGATCGGTGAAATAGCGGCTTTCATCAACTTTTTGATGTGTGCACTTGACTGTATGACTTATCGAAACTTGAAAAAGGTTTGCAGCTATGCTTGTTAACTGAAAAGATACTAATAAAGACTGTAAGTTTTATTTAGCGAAAGAAGAATGGGAAAACGACACGCACCGAAGTTCTGCTGATGATTCAGGTGAAACTTGACTGCAATGATGTAACTGTTTCTTGTGATTAATGACTACCGTATTCTCTCTAATAGTAGTGCGCACTACTGTTTTTTCAACTCCCTCCTGGACCGCAATACTTTTAGAGAGTGCACTACTATTAGAGAGAATACGGTAAATAACTTATAACTTGTCTCATTTGTCATAGCTTTAGATTTTGCTTAAGAGTCAAGGAAAGCATAATTGGAAATGAATGTACAATGAATGAAAGTACAATGAATGAAAGTACAATGAATGAAAGTACAATGAATGAATGTACAATGAATGAATGTATGTACAATGTACAATAAGGTACTTTTAGATGATTTCAATGTCGTTGATCGCTTTCATCAACTCGCTTCTTTTTCCTTTTCTCAATTTGATGATTAATATTTTTTTTGGATTTAATTTGGCTTACACGACGATTTTCGTACTTAACTTTTTTGTGAATCTTCTTTTTTATCCGTTTGCAAGGTAAGTGAATCAGTTAATCAAAAAAAAAACAAATCTCAGCATTGTCTCGATTTTGTTTCTTCGCAAAAGAAAAGAGAGAAATTCGAATGGGACAAGTGTCACTCAGTCAAGTTTGGTGGATAGCCGATGGACACGGAGTAAATGATGAGAAAATTTGTGTTCAAAGTCATTATCTTGTACTTGTCTTGAATAAAATGCTCTACAAAATGCACTACGTATGATTTGCGATCAAACCGAGCCTATTCTCCCGCTAGAAACGTCCGTTTTGTTTTTAAATTGTACCATCTTGTAGGAGATTTTGTCCTCTTTCTGCTGATAATAAAGTTTTTAAAAAATTAGCTTTCTAAATATCTTTTTAAAGCAATTCCCGCGTTAATCGAAAAACTTCCGATAGAAGTTTTTCCCGACACCGGGAATGGCTTTAAATCTACAGTTTAGTTAAAGTAAATCTTTTAGTAAATCTACAGTAAATCTACTAGGTTGGTGCAAATGAAATTTCGTTTTTTTACAAACATTAAAGTCATCCAAAATTTTTTTAGATAACAATTTATTTAAAACAATAAGCACCATTATTATCTATGACATCCCTCCAACGTTGCTTCAGATTGCGGATCCCCTTCTCAAAGAACGCTTGATTCTGTGATGCAAAGTAGTTGGTCACCCAATTTTCGACTTCTTTTGCATTCTTAAACTGGCAATTCTCAAGGGAATGTTGCATCGATCTGAAAAGGTGAAAATCGGAGGGTGCTAAGTCTGGACTATACGGCGCATGTGGTAAGACCTTCCATCCTAGCTTCTCTAGTTCCTTACAAGAGGTTTTTGCCGTGTGAGCTGGAGCATTATCACGGAGAAAGTTGATAGTTGAGGGATTTAGGCCTTTTTCACGCAAAATTTCGTCAACCTTCTTGAGTTGTTGAATAAAATAAGATGAATCGACTGTTTTTCCGGGCTCTAATAATTCAAAATGAACAAGTCCATTGATATTCCACCAGCAAGACAACATCACTTTGCGCCCATGATAATCCGGCTTTGGAGTTGGAATTGGCGCTTGACCTTTGCTCAGCCATTGCCTTTTTCGAGAAGTATTATCAAAGTGAATCCACTTCTCATCCATCGTCAAGATATTCTCAAAAAAAATGGCTTCTTTTCGACCTATGGAGCAAGATATGGCTGATCGAAACGCGTGCTCCCAGATTCTCAACACTCAATTGATGTGGAACCCATTGTCCATTACGATTTGTCTTTCCAATTATTTCCAAATGGCGTACAATTGTTGAATGATCACATTGGAGATGCTTGGCAAGTTCTCGTGTTGTTTGCATTGGATCAGCTTCAATTAATTGTTCCAATTCATTGTTGTCGATGGCTGTGGCACGATGTCCATGCGATTCGTCTTCAAGGGATTCATTACCATCTCGGAATTGGGCAAACCAGAGCTGGCATGATCTTTCGGTGATAACCTGTTCTCCAAAGGCGGAACAGAGATCACGATGTGAATCAGCAGCGTTTTTGCCCATTTTGAAGTCATAGAGAAGACACGTGCGCAGAACATACTTTTGATCCACCATGATCTAAAGCAAAAATCAATTAAAAAGTGAAAGCTCTGACTTTGAAAAAATGCGAAAATAAAGTAAATATCCAAGAGTACAAATGCACAAAAGAACATCAAATAAGCTCTTCAGATTAAAAAAATAAGAACATTTTATATCGACCGAAATTTCTTTTGCACCAACCTAATACAGTAAATCTACAGCAAATCTTTTAGTTTTTAAGAAACCATTTTATTATTAGCAGAAAGAGGACAAAATTTCCCACAAGATGGTACAATTTGTAAGCAAAACAGACGTTTCTAGCGGGAGAAATGCGCCCAAGATCGCGTTTCTTGAGTTTTCCCGTGGGAAGTTTCCGGTAACGGAACATGCGGCCTCTGATCAGACCAGTCACCAGAATCGAATCTAGGTCTACCTTTTGAAGAATTCAAGAAGAACTTTCTGTGGACTGAGATTGAAGACTAAAGCTAGCTCCAGTCTTTCTGGCATAGGCTTACTTCTGTAGCTAGCCTACTGAAATCAGATCACCCAATTATTCAGCGATATTATTAAAATCGCTTAATCATTCGACCACTTGACTTCTGTAAACTTTAATTTTTAACCGTTGAAGCATAGTTTTTTTATAAAAAGCATATAATTCAAGCTTGTTGTGGTTTCTATTGAAACCAAAATTGCAGGTAGTATGCCGAAAAAAAAGGTGTAATTATGGAAAGGTTCGGCGAATAAACAGCTTATCGGTTGAAATCTTTGGTCTCACTAGCTTTTTTCTTTGGTTTAAAAGGAAGAAAATCTTATAAGTATATTAAAAAAAGAGTTTACCTTTTTTGTCAAGTCAAATGTCCTTTATCGATTCGATTAAACACGGAAGATTTTATGAAATGATTTCTGTTGTATTCTTGACAACATTGTTGATGGGTGAGAAATTTTAATTGGCTTTAAAATGTTGAAAAATTGCTTTTTCCGCATACTAACTCTAGCCAAGCTCTCTAAAAGTCTTTTTTTTCAGGAATCTATGCTTTTCTACTATTCATCTATAGTCAGTACTGGTCAATATCAGAAATCAAGCCGGATATCGACCCTTCAATCTCAGGACAACTCACTCCAATCATTGAAAGGACTGAGGCTGTGGTGAGTGTTGGAAGGGTTACCGTTTGATTTGTCGACAGACGGAACAGTTCATGGGCACTGTCGCCAATCTGTGTTTTAGTTTACAGAGGTACCGTAGCCATAATACAGTAATAATTCCGGAATACAGTCTGTCAACCGGAGTCTGTCAGTATTTGTTCACAGCTTTCGTTTTCAATTGTTGCCCAAATGCGATTGGTCTGTTCGTCTCTAATTTGGAAAGCTACCGTAACCTTTCTTTCACGGTAGCCTTCCAAATTGCCCACTCTTTAGAAGATTTTCCCAATCCCAGTTAGATCGCAACAATAGCCCTTTGACCACGGTAGCTTAGCTTTCTAAAAGCTTGATGTGCAGTTTGGAAAGCTCATTGAATTTGCAGTTTTATGCCATATCAAATGAACTCAAATAAACGTCTACTTACAAGGTTTTTCCTTGAATTTAAAGGATTTTGAGATCTTTGAATTATTCACAATCTATTGGGTTGGTGAATTGAAAACTGCCGGACTTTGAACTAAAATTCATTCAACATAAAACAATCAATTCATTCCAAATAATTTCCATTATTATTGACGACTTCTGCTCATTTTATAGGCAATTTGGGGATTCGCCTTTCTGGGTAGGATTTTGGTTTGTGCGTGAGACAAGTGTGAGACTCAAAAATGGAGGACTGGAGATGTCCCAGTTTGAGCACTTTCTTCCAAAGAAACCCATTTTGGTGTCAATAGAAAAGTTGTAGAGAATCAAAAATTAGGCTTATAGCCAAATTTCCAAAAAGATACACTTAGTAGTTTCGCTTAAAAAATTTGTTTTGTGTTTTGTGAAAATTCGTAAATTTGGCATTTCTTGAAAACCAGTTTTTGAATCGTTCTGAAAATTTGGATATAAGCTTAATTTTTGATTCTCTACAACTTTTTCATTCACACCAAAATGGGTTTCTTTTGAAGAAAGTGCTCAAACTGTCACATATGACAATAGCCGGCAGTTTTCAATTCACCAACCCAATAATGGCATAATCATAAACAGCTCTAATTTCAGGTACTAGTTTTGAGTGTTTTCATCAGTTTTTTCGCTATTTGGAACGTTCTATGGAACGATCGGTTGACTCTTCCATTACGGTGGGTTTTTGTTTTCCATTTCGGTCAATCTCAAGTAACAAAAGCCAGTTCAGTTTGTTGGCAGCTAATGAAAACGTCGATAAAATGATATTTGCTATCATTTACACATATTATTGCGTGTGCGCATACCTAGCAAATGATCAGTGAGTGGATTCAGGAAAAATCGAATGGAAGAGATGTTTTAGGTGTCCACAAGCGATTTTCGATTTGATCACCACAATCAACTCGTACGTTGATTATCATATTCTTAACGATATTGCTCAATACAATCAGCTGATGATCTCAATCAGGTTTGGAAGTGAAATTATCCAAAGATTGAATTCATATTCTAAAAGATGGACAGTTTGGAAAGCTACCGTAATCTTCAGCAATTACTTTATTATGAGCTGAGTCGATGAGGAATAAATTGAATGAAATCAAGCTTTTTGAAAGCTAATCAACCATAGTCAAAGGACTATTGTTGGAAAAAAAAATAGTGACTGGAAAAAACTTCTAAAGAGTGAGCAATTTGGAAAGCTACGAAGAAGGGTTACGATAGCTTTCCAAATCAAAAACAAAAAGACCAATTGTGACGAATTGCCACTGCTCTGTAGTTAGTCAAAATTCAATACACAAGTGAAAATTCAAAGTTGATGGATAAACTACCGTAATCAGCCACTAGACGATATTCAGTTGTTCGTTTTTCGTAGCTTGTGTACTTAAAAAAACCCATTATTTAAGCTTTGTCTTGAGTCAGTTGAGGGCTCCTTTTTCTATTCATCCTTTTTTCACACACAAGTGTTGAAGTAATTGTGATAGTGCCAGTTTTGCTCCAATTTGAGCGAAGTTTGCCCTAATAAGGGTAAGTTTTGATAAGTGCGTTTTGAAGACATCTACCATTAAACCACACCGAGACACGGTCTCACAAGAAATTATAAAGATCAAAGTATATATTTCTTACACCAATCACATTTCAGCCGTTTCCTAGCAGTTTCCTTTGATGGTGCTTATTTCCCTTACACTTTACGCTTTCCATTCATTCAACCATTTCTCCCGTATATTCTTCGAATCGGTCTCAGCTTTTTGAAGAACCTCTTCCCATTTGATTTCACCTATTATTACATCTTTGATCTCTATATTCTTCAATTTCCCTACTTTTTCATGTGCGCTCTCGATTTCGTTACGAATCGAAAAATGAAAAGCGTAAGAGATTTGCATCACCGTAAAAAAAACAAATTCATTTAGCTGAAGAAGAGGGGGAAAACGTCAAGAGCTGAACGATTGTTGATGATACAAGTGGGAATAGTTTCCCAGTGAGATAAAAGTATTCATACGCAAATGATTGACTGACTTCAGTTCAGCCGACAAGTCACAGTGTCTAATTGTAAGTACAATGGCTGTTTAGACATTACAATAGCAGTAATGTTGTAAGTTTGGTATTGCTGATTAAGCGTTATAAAAGCTAAAATCTTGATACTGGACTCTTGAACAGCTTAAGTTTTATCAAAGATTTGTGAGATTTAAAAGCATTAGCAGCGTTAAGCTCTTGCAAATTTCCTTCGAGAAATCAAAAAAATGAAAGCTGAGTTTTGTCAGATTTCTTTATTCTGAGTTGTCAGTTTTACATAATTAGAATTTTCAGATGATGGCCAACTCCTTCCTAACTCTCATCAATACTCTATTCATGTATTCGATAATGTCAATCGTCAATTTCTTCTTTGATATCAGTCTTGCATTTCTTGTGATGAGATCGCTCGACTTTATTCGATTTTTCTTTTTCAATTTCATCATGAGGTGAGTTTAAATGTTTTTGAATGTTTAAAGAAGCTTTAGTTTGATCAGTGTTTTCTGTTTCCGAAAACCAAGGGATCAAAAAGTTCACCAAAGAACTAATGACGGAACGGCTTTCACAGTGAGTAGAAGAACGACAAGAAATCGTTAGATTTTATGGTTTTTTTTGCTTTTAAAATAAAATTCTATCAAAACTTTGGATTACGGTAAATGGAATGTATTTCAGGAAGTTTGCTTTATTTTAACTCTTTTTCAAGCAGGTTCAACGCTAAATTTCATAGTGAAGATGTGATCAGTGAAAAGGAGCAATTTCCCCTGTGGTTGCCCGGTTCTGAATTCCGTTGACTGGGATTTTACTGAAAGGTTTTAACATCGAAAAAACTAGAGGATACAAGGTGAGTCTTGCTCGACATCGAAATTTGGATATATTAAGTTTAAAATTTGAATTTGTCACACAGGATTTGAATTTTAATTGAATTGAAATGCCGTAGTAGGGAGCAGGGTTGTTCAACTGGCGATTTAGCCGAGTCCAGGCCTGCCTTCTGGTGGGTTCAGCAAAGCCCGGTTAGGCCAGACACGATCGGAAGCTAGACCAAGACCAGGTTTCTGGTCTGGTCCAGGAAAAATTGCTTTCGGAATAACCCTGACGGACGATTGCCAAGCTAACCAATTCCAGGGAAGTTTTACAACTATCATACAAGTTTACAAGTTTGGGTAACCCAACAGTACCATCTCAAAACTTTGCTGGATTACGGTAAATGGAATGTATTTCAGGACATTTGCTTTATTTTAGCTCTTTTTTCAAGCAGGTTCAACACTGAATTTCATAGTGAAGATGTGATCAGTGAAAAGGATCAATTTTCCGTGTGGTTGCCCGGTTGTGAATTCCGTTGACTGGGGTTTTACTGAAACGTTTTAACATCAGAGTTTTAACATCGAAAAAAGCACAACCTTCACAAACTTTGATCCCGTCTTGTTGAGCCAAATCCTCATAGGTTTGCGCCTCTTTCATCACCAAGTGAGTCACGCACTGAAATGGATATTGAGGCAGGGGATTTTTTGACTTGTTATTACCAGGGCTGATCCTAGCATGGCCTAGCGCTGTTCACATACACAGTAATACGAAATAATAGTACAAATTTAACAGATTTAACAGATTTGAACCGAAACCAAACCAGACCAGCCAAGCAAAGCAAGCCAAGTCTGGAGCAAAGCAAGCCAAGTCCTAAACCTGTTAGGCTAACAACCAGACCGAACTGAAGCAAATGAAGCCAGGCCCTGAACCTATTCGGCTAACAATAAGTTTAACGTTAAGTTGACTTAAGACCGACTTATGATAAGCTTAAGACATTTATGGCAGCCATCGCTAAAATACCGATTGCTAGAATCTTGGAATTACAATAGAATCCCGGTTGTCAGTGATGTTCTAATAAACCAGAAAAGACAGGCCAGGGTCAGACCGAACTGGAGCAAAGCCAAGTCCTAAACCTGTTAGGCTAACAATAAGTTTAACGCTAAGTTGACTTAAGACAAACTTATGATAGACTTAAGACACTTTAGAGTGAATCAGCTCAGGCTTGGCCTTTGGCTGATGAATTTTGACCCAAGCTAGATCACAGAAAAATCATGTCTAACCTTAGCATCGGGTGGATCGAAAGCCGTAATAGTTATCTTGACTTTTCCATCAAAAATGATGAAACACTCCTTGATCACATCACCGGTCACTTTGTTCTTGTTTTCGACGGAAAACGAGAACTTTTGCACGACGACCGAGTTCTCGATGGTGTAGCCACAAGCTGGAAGAGGGTTTTGAGATCGAAAATGGTTTGGCCTATCAGATATTAGCCTCAAAATTACAAATTGAATCTTAAAAAGCCACAAAACTTGATTAGAGTTTAAATTTTGAATGTTATAATGAAAATTGAAGGCTTAAAATCTTACCAAGCTCATGTTCGTCTCCAAGAAAATGCCAGGGATCGTGAAAAATCTGAACAAAAAAAAAGTGGTTTTTATTTTCAAAATGGACAAATTCACTTACCGCTTCATTTCCGTGAATAAAAATTACTAAAATGATGAAGAGAAGTGAAAACATTTTGCCAACAATTACAAATTGATTGACGAAATTTTTGGTTCATAGATTTGTAGTCAGAAAAAAGCATGAAGAGAATGCAATTTTCTTTATTTTCTGTCTATTTTTGGAAAAGTTGAAACAGTTTTATCATTCAAAATCGGATTAGCGATATTTTTAGAAGAAATTAACATCAAATCGATGGTCTTTTGCATGCTCATTTTGGTAGATTGTGATTTCAGAATCTCCATATTTCATTTAGTATAATATTGGTACCGTATCTTTCTCTTTCAACAATAAGCTAGCATAATGCCGTCAAAAACTGGCTATAATTTCATCAGAGACACCTATTCTTGAGCTCTTGGCAACAATAAAAGTTTGCCCTGTACACACGGCTGACAGACGCGTGCTTTAATCTCATCTCAGAAAACGAATTGTGAAAGAGCGTTGGTGTTCTTTTCTTATCAGTAAAAGACCAGGCTAGACATCATTCCCTGATAGATTGATATAATTAAATATTTATCTTTGTTAAATAAGCAAAACACAGTAAAAAAACGCATTTATAAAGCACAAACAAACTTTTAATGCTTGGGGTATACGGTATATTATCCACGATTTAGAATCCAGTGACCGCCTAGAAGATTGTTAGATTTTACCCCTCCTTTAACGTTAACGAGCATAGGGTAGTGTTGGCGGAAGATATTTCAACTCCGAAAATTTACAGGCAACGACGCTGCTGCGCTAAAGAAAGTGAAGAGCATGATCAATAATGCGGCAAAGAAACTCAACGACGGTTTCCCTCGTTTTCCTCCTTGCAAGTCACAAAATTCGCTTTTCTTCAATTCTTGTGTGACCAAGTTACCTTCTTGGGCGCTCAAAGTGAGGTAAGAAAAACTATTCTGTCTAAAATATCCAATAAATATCGTTTTTTAGTTCATTCGTCACTTCGTTCCTCAAGCAACTCATTAGTGATCTCGGAAAAGTTTCTGTCAACCAACAATTTTCTTGTAACCTTTTCACCCAATTTTTCCGTTATCTCAAGAATTTACAGTGTTAATTCGCAACAATTTGAACAAATTCGCGAGTGATTTGACGGTGATTCCGAAAGAAGCGGGTGATTTTTGATACTTGTACAGGCTGAAATGTTTCAAAAGTTTGATATTTTCTTTTAAAAACGATTTCAGCAAAATGTTTTAGGTAAACACCGTCCACTGCACCATTCCAGAGCTCATCAATTTGTATTTGTTTCATTAGTTTCCTTGAGTAATTCATTTTGTCAGAGTTTTTTACACTCAGAATAAAATGTGCAAGCCTTTTCTGAACAAAGTACTTCAAAAAAGGGTAACAGTAATTTCAAAACTTTCACTTCACCAATGCCAGTACAACGTACTCAGCGGCAAGAATTGTTGTTTAAATGATTAGCATTGGCTTTAAGCCAGAGCTGAGTGCTTGGTTGACTCTTGAGGTTTTTTAGAAAGAGGTTCACATAAAAAAGCGACAAAAACAACAAAAAACAACTGGTAAGCAACACCTCGAAAGCAATAAATCTAAATGGAGCCAAACAGAGAAAGAGAACACATGACTCTCAAAAGTCTTACCTCTCAAGATCTAGAAGTAGATCTAGTATCTTTTGTCTTTTGTCAAAAACTTTGGTTTTAAAGGAATCTTTTAGGAATGATTGAGAAGAAATACTAGAAATAAAATGAAATGGGGCTTACTTTTGATTTTTATTCACTTTCATGCACTATTCGGACTTGATATTAAACCGGGTGATGGGACTGTGACGAGCAGGGACAATAATTGGAATTCGAGGTAAGTGAACGAAGATTATTTAGCAAAATAATTAGCAATAAAGATTTCAGAATAATAATTTATTCATTTTGGATAACTGTTTCTTTTTTAAAGCTGAGTGCTGAGTTTTTGAGGCAACTCTGGTACCAGACTCGTAGCAGTATATCTAGATTTTTGAGTCAATTTGAAAACAATAAGTAAGCCATCAATTTTCAGCTATATCCAGAAGAAAGTTGGAGAAAGTGTGCTTCTACGATGCTCCAAAAATTTACCGTGCGTTTAATTAGACTTTAAAGCTTTGGTTCAACAAGGTTTTTACTCGAATTTCAACAACCTAAACAGAAAAAATACCGAAAAAGAAAATTCGGTTTGAAAAGGGATCTCAAAAAGAGACCTCTATTCAAACCGAATTTTAGAAAAACTTTAACTGGTGCCTATTAACTTTTAGACTTTTAACTTCTAACTTTAACCTTTAGAAAAACTTTTGGTGGCACTTCTGGTGCCAAAACTCGTTTTTCTTTAAGGCATTTTTTTCACTTTTTTGATAGTTCTTTGTTTTCTTGACCACTATTTAGGGTGTTCAAGAAAAAGCGTTAGTTCGCGTTGAATTTCTTCACGATCTTTATTGGCTTATGGTGGCAACTCTGATGCCAAAAGTGTTCTTCGGTCTGAAAAAGTTCTGACCTTTTTTCGAAATTTTTTCATTTTCACGACCATGATCACCACCACTATATGGGCCATCATCATGAGACTTTTGTCATACAATTAAAACTTTATACTGGTATCATGGTGTCATATTAGAGTTAATATATAAACTAAGATTTTGAGCCAAACACTCTATTTTATTCAGACAGAAAAAAACAGTTTTGCCACCAGGAGTCCTACCAATAGCCACTTAAAGTTTTTCTAAAATTCGGTTTGAAAAAGGGCATTTTTTGAGACACCTTGTACTGTCTCAATTTCAAAACTAGCCATTTCTTAACCTGTCTTGATAGAATTTCCAACTTTTATTGAATTTTCTGAGCGATGAATGAGATTTAGATGGATCATGACCACCAAAACTACCAATGCGAATCTCGAGGGTTTTGATTTCTCAGACTTACAAAATAGAACCGAATTTAAAGTTAGAGATGAGCCTTTAATTGAATAGTCCACAACTTCTAGGGGCCATTAATGTACATTTATGATCTGAAAGCTTCCGATACTGGAATGTATGGTTGTGGGGAAGAAATTCTTGAGGAAAGCATTTACATTTATGTCAAAGGTAAAGTTTCAAATATTCCAAAGCTTAGTCAAACTCAGGTCCTCAACTTTTTCTAAAGAGCAAAGATGTAGTGACATTTCTTCAACTTGGAGCCCATGATCATGATCTGATTATTCCATTTCGAACCACCACACACACGCATAGACGTTAAGAAAAGAAGAAAAAACAAAATGAAACTTTAAAATTTTAGGGGAACGAGTAAAGCTATTTGTCGACAATGAGGAATGGAGGGCATTGTGTTGGGATGAGAATACGTTTCTTTGATAAAAGATTACAATAAAAACAAACCGAAAAATGTAGTACTACTAGGGATTTAAACAAACAGCATTTACGCTGACAATGGAAGCTCACGAAATCAAGGTGGCTAATCGAAATGAGACATAGACCATTCGATGCAGGATTTTATGCTGATTCCGAAACTTCTGTCCGTTTTCGGTCGTATATAATAGGTTGGAATCACGAAGAGAACGGGACCAAGGGAACACGATAAAATAGCTGTTCAGAAAAAGAAAAACTTAAAGGGAGTCGAACCCTTGACCTACAGCTTTGCATACGTACACGCTATTCGCTACACAACGCAACCATTTCTTTCACAACCAAGCGTTATAGGAGAGGCCAAAAACCTGTTTGCCCTGTTTGCCAAATTCCTTGTGGTTCGGACCTGTTTAGCAAAAAAAGGACAGCAGATTCGGAATCAGTGTCAAATTCTGCTTCGGATGGTCTAGGTCTCATTTCGATTAGTCACCTTGATTTTATATCATTCCCTTGTGAGTTGGCACCAGTTGAAAACTTGCTCAAAGGCTCAAAGGCTGTTGAGCTGTTGATTCTGTTGATTTACAAGTAACACTGCTTTGATATTTGCCTTGTACAGGTTTAACTTTTTAGTAATTATTTCTATTTCTAAAAAAAGTATTTCTAAAAAAATTTTTAAGAAATGTAAGCGAAAAAGTGATCATCGCCGGAGTTGACAAATTGCTTACATCGAAGGGTGAGGCGCTAAGATGCACTTCGATGTCGGAATTCTTCGATCCTCGGTCTTTTCCCATAAATTTAAACAAAAATGATTTCAGTCGCGGCTTTGACATTTCCTTGTTTTCTTCCCGACTCGATTGGAGTAAATTTAACAATAAACGCTTTCGGTGTGAATATGGAAACGAGGTTGCGGAGGTTTTCGTTCAGGTGGGAGAATCTGATAGCAGTTTTCAGAAAATCCATTGCAGGCAATTCAAAGCATCGACATCAACCTCACCAAAATCGGTATTCTTTTGAAGATTTTAAAGAATATTTTTCAACTTACAGATAGTCCTTTCAAAGTGACTTGCTCGTGGGAAAGCCAGCCGAGTCTAGATTTCAATGTTGAAAGATCTGGGTTATGGCTGAGTTGTCCCAAGTGTGAGGCAAAAAAGAATGGGGTACGGATTCTAATGTCAACTTTACCAATGTGAAATAGCATGTTGTTAATCGAATAATTGAATGGCTACAAGATGCAAGAGCCAAGCGAGAGATGGCCAAATTTTGGGACCCTTCAAAGGGCGATGCATCCCAATTCTGCCATTGGTACTGGTCAAATTTTAATAGAAATATTTTAAAAAGAGATAAATTTAATTTAGCTTTAATTCTTTTAGGCATAAAGAGAGATTTTAGGATTCAGCAGTTAGGAGAAGAAAGAAATTCGAGCGCTCAAATGCCGTTCTTCCGTGAAATACTGTATACAACAAAGATCACAAACCAGGTAGCTGAAAGAGAATTCCACTCAAAATTTAGGGATAACTCTAGTTTGCCGCAGCTTCAACAATCGTGGTAATCGTTATTATGTCGCTCTTGCTTTTCCTCGGCATCGGTTTTGCCGTTTCTTGTCGGAAAATGAGGAGAGCCCCAAACAACGCTGAAACGGTAGAACTTTCCCAAGCGGTAAGCTCTTTCCCTCAACGCCACATCGGGCACGGGACTTTTGGAGACGTTTTTGAACTGATTGGATATGATCCGTAAGTTTCAAGTTAATGATAATTAATCAAAATCCCATTGAAAATCCGTTTCAGACCAGCTGTGATAAAGAATGCTTTGGATTATTTTTTCAAGGAGCACATCATACATCGGGATATCAAACCGGAGAAGTGAGCAAGAATGGGCTTTATTAGAAAATTGTTTCAGCATCTTTGTGACATCAAGTTTCGTTTTGAAGTTTGGTGATTTTGGATTGGCAAAGCATATTGAGCAGACGTGTACGGGCTCCGCAAAGGGCACAGAACGATATATGAGTCCCCTGAAATATGGAAGGAGTCACGAATTGCAAGTGAGTTCAAAATTTATGGCATTAAGATGAATCCGTGGTGTTCAAAGGCCCGCTTGTCCTCTTCACCAAGGCAGATCCCCCAAGATAGAATGGTCCCGGTACCTGATTGATTCAATCGAGCGCCGGGGTTATGGCTCTTTGCGGCTCTTACTCAATCGTAAGACTGGGGTTTCACTGGAGAAACTTTTGATGGAGTTTCTTAGTGGTTGGTTGGATGTGAAAGAAATGAATATGGATAGAAGAGAATTTATTGTTTGCTTAAGAAATACGGCAGATTAAAATAACCACAAAATGGCCACAAAAAACCAAAAACCAACACGCGAATGTGCTCGGATTCTGCTTATCTAGAGCTTCTAATGAAAAGATGATTAGGAACATCAAGGAACAATAGTATTAGAAGAAACTGGAGATTTAGAGAAAAACTGTACAAAAAACTGACTTTTCCTTGCCTTGCCATGGGCCATGGGCCATGGCCCCAAGAAAGGCATGAAAAGAATTCGATTTAAACAGGCAACATCGGAAGCAAGAGGGCGGTAGAAGCCTCTTAGCAATCCTTTTGCCAATTCGCCGACGGTCTGAAATTTTTGAGGCAGCTAATACAATAGGATAAAAATTTTGAATGGAACCCATTTTGAATGAAACCCATTGCCTATTCATTAACCTATTAAAAACTTGTCTAAAGGCAGGTCACTCAAAAAGTGACCAAGTCACTTCAGCTAAAGAAATCTCTTATTTTTTTTACCTGAAGCCCACTCTAATTTTATTAAAAACTTTTTGAAATAATCTGGTTATTTCAAAGTTTATCAAAAAATCTGGGAAGAATCTATGGCTTGGTTTTTGAGATATCACCGTGCAACCTTTTTCCGAGAACTTTCTTGAGAACCTAATAGATCAAGTTATGATTTCCGATAGACTCAACACTTTCTTGAACAAGGCTAGACAAGTTCGGAAGCCAAATCAGGAGCTAGCTTCTATAATAGCTCTGGAAAAGTTGTTCTGGGAACAACCCTGTATTTCACATTTGTCTCACTTGTCAAAAGAGTGTTTATCAATCGAAACACTTTCACATTTAGGACTCTCATCGAAATGACGTCTACAGTCTGGGACTTGTTTTGTGGGAGATTGTTGAAAGAAAGTTTGTTTACAGCAAAATTTTATATCTACTCAGTGGTAGGCTTGTTTTCTCCGAGTATGGCCAGCATGGAGACTTCAGTCGAGAAGGTTTCAATTATGACATCATCCAGAACCGATTGACACAACTTGTTGCTGCAAATTGTCAAGGGGAAATTCAAGGTGTGATCAAGAGGTTTGTGCTTGATTGAGTAACTCATTGCGGGAGAATAGGTGTACGGATTTTGATCGTAATGTTCGGCCGAGAGCCATGGAGGTTCTCGAGGAGTTGCGGAACAGTGAGGTGGATAAATTTTCTAATAGGGCAATCTATGAAAGTCAAAGGCTTTTAATTAAATGGTTGAAAAATTGATAGGAACTAAAAGTAGAAGTTTCAAGATCAATTAAATATAATCTTTTCAGCCCGATTCATTCATTGCCACTTTGGATTTTTTGCCAATCGAAGAAAACGATGAAACAATACTTTTCCATCCGATCGGCTTTGACGGAACACACAATAGGATTCCAGTCCAGTCTTCCGGTTTTGACGATCTCCTCCCAAATCACCCATAAATTCTTGTTTTTCAAATAAATATACAAACGCAACTGTGTTCAGGCTTTGTACTACAAAAGTGCAACTCTAAATTTGTTTACATGAATCCTGAAAAGCGCGTATTTGACAGTGCAAGGCCTATTTCCTTGCAAGACTATCTAGCAGCGCTCCTTTTTTTTATCTGTCTTCGCACTTAGGTGTTCCTATTTGCGCAGATCACAACCTGCTTCCACAATTCTCTATCTTTTGCTATTGTCATCCAGTGTTTCCTATCTTCGTTCTTCCTGGTTCGAAGTCTTCGACTTGCTTGTGCTGGTGGTGGTTGCACTCTAGCCATCCTGTCTCTGACCGTCGCTGCCACTCTTGTGCTCCGCCTCGTTGCTGGTCTCCCGATGGGCCTCTTCTGGTCTCGTGGTAGCCACTCTGTGATCCGTATCGTCCATCTGTCTCTGTCCCGTAGCAGAGTGCCGGGAGGACGGTGCTGTTGAAGACGTGTGCCCGAGTCCTCTGGTGATGATTCTTGTGACCTCTTTGATGCTTCCTAGTGCTCGTCTTCTTCTGGCGACTTCTGGTCTTAGATCTCCCTCCATGTTGATGGTTCTTCCGAGGTAGGTGTAGGAGGTGTCTTCTAGTGGTTGACCTTCCAGCTTGATCTCTCCAGGTGGGCACCATGCGTTCCTCATGCTCTGAGTCTTTTTCTTGTTCATCTCGAGGCCAATCTTCTTGCTGACTCGGTCCAGGTCTTCTAGCATCCGTTGGGCTTCTTCTGGTGTCTTGGCGCAGAGCACGATGTCGTCTGTGAAGCGTAGGTTGGTGATGTTGCTGCTGCCTACCGGGATGCCGTAGTCTTACCACTCGCGGTCTTTCATAGCATACTGGAGAACCCTGGTGAAGAGCTTGGGTGAGATGGTGTCTCCTTGGCGGACCCCGCGCTTGATCGGGATGTGGACTTCCCTATCGAACATCTTGATGGTGGTGGTAGCCTCCATGTAGCAGTCTTATATGGCGTGGATATATCTGAGGTCAATCCCTGCGTCGAGGAGGGCTTTTGTCACTGCGCCGTGTTTCACTGAGTCGAATGCCTTCTTGTGGTCGACGAACACCAGTATGAGTGGCATTCGGAATTCTCGTGTTTTTTTGATAGTTGGGTGACCGCTTGCATGTGGTCGATCACCGAGAAGTTCTTGCGGAGGCCGGCCTGCTCCACTGGCTGGTAGTCGTCGAGTTGCCGCTCTATTCGTTGTTGGAGAATCTTCTTTGGTGTTGGAATGTTGGTGAATGTTGGTGAAAAAAAGGTGTTAGTGTTGTTCTTGATGTAGATCCTCATCTTGAGCAGCTCCTTGGTTGCGTCTGAGATCCTCTGATCTTTGGTCTGTGGCACACTGCACTTCTTCTCGCATTCCTTGAGGTTCTTGACTAGGGTGTCGTAGTCCTCGTTGTGGTCCCCCGATTGTTTCCAATCCTTATCCCTGAGGAGTTGTGGTAGTATCGAGAAGTCGTGGGCGAGCTTCTTCTCCTATGGTGATTGGTGGAGGATCTCCTTTGCCACTTGTTCGCTTAGTTTCACTTTTGCTCGCAAGAGTCGATGGTCTGAGCCGGTAACCAAGGAGGGCACCACGCCGACGTCTGGAAGCGTCCATTTCCTGTTGGCGAGGTTGTGGTCTATCTCGCACTTCGTCTGACCGTTGGGTGGGCACCAGGTCCATCATCTTGAAGTTTTCTTCTTGAACTGAGAGTTCCCGTGAGTGAGTCTTGTTGACCATAGTAGGTCTTCCAGACGGTCGCCGTTGTCGTTGCGTGTGCCGAGTCCGAACTTTCCGACCCTGCCGGTGCCGCTGTTGCCGATGATCGCGTTGAGGTCTCCGAGCACGAACTTGTAGAAGCTCCTGTCTTTCTTGAGTGTTGCTTCGAGGTCTTCGTGGAAGGCTTCTCGTTCGTCTTCCTCGGCTGTGGAGGTTGGGGCGTAGCAGCTGTAGACGGCGATGTCGCGGTTTCTCGGTGGCTTGATGTGGAGGACTGCAAGTCGTGGAGAGATGATCTCATGGCTATCGACGAGTGGCACGATGCCCTTGTTGACCAGGAAGCCTACTCCTCCGATGTTCTTGTTGGTGACTTTGTGGCCGAGTATGAGCTGGTCGCCGTTCGCCTGTGTCTTCGTGTAGTCATTTTTGGCCCTTGTTACTTAAAGAGCGATGATGTCGAATTTGATCTTCTTGATCATCTCATCGAGTGCGGTCTTATCGGCTTGCTAGGCGGCTGTCCTGAAGGACTGAAGGTGCAGAGTCGGAGACTTGGGCTTTGTCGTCGAGTTCCGTTCCTTGGTCCATTGTCCATATGGCATCCTGATGTCCCGAGATTGGATCGCCTCTCGGCCTTTGCTTGATCCCTTGATGCCGGAAGAGCGCAGGGAGGCCGTGCGGGGTACTGAGGCAGAAGTGTAGTTGTCGTATTTTGTGTCGTATAAGTGCTATTTGATGCAAAAAATGTCCTGAATTCGAATTTGAAAGAATTTTTCGAATCCGTCTGACAGATTTTTTTAAAATCGAAAGAAATCGAAAGAAATCGAAAGAAATCGAAAAACACTATTTTTCCATATAAACGCCAAAATTGCTGCTTTTTACAGGCTGATTCTTGGCGAAAACAAAAAAATAAAAGCAGGTTCTCCACCGAGTAACTGTTTTAGCCACAATAGCCACATTTCATACCCACCGCAAATCCGTGCGAAAATGCGATCAACGTTAAATTTGCTCATGGTAAGTGCTATTTGATGCAAAAAAGATGTCCTGAATTCGAATTTGAAAGAATTTTTCGAATCCGTCTGACAGATTTTTTATAAATCGAAAAAATCACTATTTCTCCATATAAACGGCAAAATTGCTGCTCTTTTACAGGCTGATTCTTGGCGAAAACAAAATTTTGGTGAGCGTCATATAGCAAACTTTATGCTCAAGGGTCTTGTGCACATTTTGACACCAAAAAGAGATCAATTCTATGAATCTGTGAAAAGTTGATGCCTTTTGCACGCAAAAGTAGCGTTTTTCGACTTTCTGTGCGCTAAAGCGTGGGTAACTACCGTAACCATTACAAAAATAAAAAGAAAATTATAAAACTTGTTCAAAACACTTGTACTACTGTATCTTTACTGAATCGAACGAATTTAAGATTTGCTGATGAATTTTTCATCATTCAGCTTAAACAGCTTTGGCGTTACAAATCACCTTTTGGCTACAAATTTTCACGGAAACTAATCATGCAAACACCTGCTCGAACCCTGAGTTCAGTAGAAATGGAAGTTCTCTGTCAACTTGGCATTTAATACTGAGAATACTTAATACTTAGAATACTTAGAATACTTGTGTTGATGAAATCAAATTATGCTTAGTATTTAACTTTTTGAGTTAAAAATCGTATTTTTTACCAAAGTCCTGGTTCATGCGCTGTTAAAAAAAATCGAAAACTAAAAATTTTGTAGGTGCTGTTTTTGGGCCCATTCAATGATGGCCGGTCAACAAAAACATTTTTTGGCTTGGCTAGTAAATATTGCTAATACTTTCAACATTACTCTAGTCATTGTGAGCGTTAACTGAAATCATCAGTTATCAGTTCATTTAACAATCCAAATCACTTGTACTACTGTATGTTTATTGAACCAAAAAATTTAAGATTTCTCAAGCTTTTTACATCTTTATTTCACTTGTTGATTCTGTTTCATCCGCCACACTGGCCATTGTGATCGTTAACTGACATCATCAGTTACCCGTTCATCTAGCCGTCTAAATCACATACTATTATATTTTTACTGAACCAAACATACTTGAGATTTCTCAAATTCTTTACATCTTTGTTTCACTTGTGTCACTTTTATCGAATTGTTCTGCAAACCGCCTTGATTCATTTGAAATAAAGTATTGAGTGAGACGAGAGATGAGCTGAGAAGCATCATCGATATTGTGAGTTGAGAAATTTCTAGATATGTATTAAAAAATAGTTTGCTTTGATTATGGCAACTTACCAGCATAAAACTCTAATTCGATGTGAAAGAAAACTTTTAGTAGAACACAAAATACGCCAATATGTGCTGCAATCGAAGAATTGACAAAAGTTGGCACAACCTTAAAAACCCAAAGTCCGAAAAAACGACCAAACTGTGCTTTACCATGAAAAACGCTGAATTAACGGCTCTTTTGTGTAGCATTTTCGTCTTTGCACTGTAGGAAGTGTTTCCATTGAGTAACGAGGAAATGCTATAATTGAATTGCTTTTTTGCATTTTTGCTTGATTTTTGCAACAATACTTAAACTAATTCTAATAATCTTTTAAATTTTCAAATTTTTACAACTTTTTAATTTTTAAAATTATTTACATAATAATTTGGAAGTCTGCCCTAGCCTGGCTTTGTATGGAGGGGCGGAGTCTGGCCCTGGTCTGGCCCGGGATAATTGAATTAGAAGCAGCCCTTGTTGTTATCATTTTACGGCTTTTAGGAAATGTGCATAAAACGGTTATGTTCAGGCAACCCTTTGGTTCGGACCAGTTCTTTTACAATCGTTTCGTTGAAATGAGCCTTGTTTTCTTAATTAAATCTAGATACCTTTTTTCATTTTCGGTAATGCTTTGGGGTAAGAGACTTTTCTACTTTTCTTCTTATGTCTGCTGATCTGGTTTGGCTGAGGTGCGATGACCAGAAATTCACCAGGTCCTCTTGTCCTCCTCAACTCGACTTTCGATGCTCAACGGTACAAGGATATCTTGGAGAGCCACCTCCTACCGTTTTCTACTGTAAAAATGGGACAGGCATGGCTACTTTACCAAGATAACGCTCCTTGTCACAAGTCGCAGCTACTGATGGGCCGCGTTATTCGTCTCGCGAATTGAGGAAGAGCTCGTCTACCAGGATGGTTTCGTTCAAATGGTGTTCAAATTTTTTCAGCTCCACCCTATAGCCCCGATCTCAATGTTATTGAGCCTCTCTGGGCCTAGGTGAAGTCACAACTGAAAGGAAAACGGTTTGGACCGA